CCTGTTTGTTAGTTAAATTGAATGAGTTAGGACTGTTGTGACTTTGATTTCCTTTTGACATGCTGTGTTTGATATCTTCTGTTTTCCTGTTAACTTTGTTGTTTTGCCTGAGGTTTGAGTTCTATATTGCGATTAGTTCAAAATCCTCTTTGTTTTTGAATTTGCTAATGCATGCCGATCTGTCTTTTTCATGATGAAAGTGAATTGTGTACCATCTGTTTTCATTGTGGAAATATGGTTGAATAAAATTGTATTTGTTGGCAAAGAGCTTAAAGATATTTGCCAGATACTTGATCTGTTCTTCCTGATTCTCTCCTGGTGTGTTTGCTATTAAAGTTCCTGCTTTGTATGTCCTTTTTTTACAAATGTGATGGGGATTTGTTGATTGGAAGTCTCTGTTTTTTGTTGCATAGTCTTTCTTTGCTCTTATGTCTTCCAGTGGATTGAAAATGAGTATTAGTGTGTTAGAGTCTTTGTCTGAGAGAAATTGCTCTTTTATGACTATTTCAGAGACGTGTGTTTCCTGGTTTTCAGTTATGTTTTCAAAAATCTGTTCATTCATAATAACTTCTGGTATTTGTTGTTCTTCATTTGCCCGCTTTATTATATTTTCTTGATTAATGTAATTTTTTGGCATGTTTTCTTTACTTCTTTCAACTACCTCTTGTTGGTAGTTGTGGTTATGGTTTCTTGTCACAGGTTGTCCAAAAGGTAATATGATTTCTGGATTTTTATTTTGTGCATATTATGGGTCATGACCTGAATGTAAAATATCAACAATCTGAGATACTTGTTGTGAGTCTTCTAATATATATCTGTTTAATATGTTCATGTCTAGTTGGTTGAATGCCCAGATTTGCTTAATATTTTTTTAGCCAGTATTCATTTGACGGCTGTATGATAATTGATATTGAGAAGTTTTGCCGCTACTGCATCTATAACTGTAATGTTTACTATTGCTCCTAATTTTGCCAGTTCTGAAGCTGTATTTGTTATGCCATCTTCAATTAATGTGCAAAACTACCTTTGTTCTCTTTCATTGTGATTGTCTTCAATTATTTTGAGATGTTCTATAATTAGATTTTCTATTTGAATTGATTTGGAGTCAACCATTGTTTTGGACTTTTGCTGGGTTGATACATGTGAACCAGCTTAATTTGCTGTTTGTTTGGTGCATATTGATTTGCTTGGAATAACTTGTTGTACAGTATAGTTAACCTTTTTGATATGTGGAGTTGAGATTAACATGTGTTTTGCCAAGTTGTTTGTAGTTTGCTTGTTTTGGTAAGCCCTGTTTGTGTTTTGTTGCTTTGTTTGTGGTAATAACGTGTTTGTGCTACTGCAGATCTTGCTTTGGGAGTAAGTTAACTTTAGTAAACTTTGGATCTATTGTATATACATGTCACGTTTTGGATTGCTGTATTTGTTTGTTTAACAGTTGTTGATATTGTTTGGCTTTGAAAAGTACGTGTTCGCATTACTGTTGATCTTTTGGAGGGGGTAACCTGTCTTTAGTTTTTTTTTTCTTCAGCAAAAATTTGATTGCGTAACAAATATTGTTTATCTTCAAAAAATATTGATATCTGTACTTTTCTTTTCAATTACAGTAATGAGAAAGTCTTGGGACCCTTTTGATTTTGTGTTGATGTTTGAGGTTATCTAGTTTACCAGGTGTGATCTGGCCAATATTAAGTCCTGCTGATGTCTAGGGAGGTATCTAACCTGGTGCACGACTGGCTAGCAGCTTGTGAAATGCGATACTGACTTTCTCTTTTAATTTTATTGTGAATTGTATTCTTTCTTTCCCAATGAGAAATCACAAGTATCTGTTTCTAAAATTGAGAAATAAAGAAGAATTAATATACTTTTTGAATCTACAGTATACTTGTTATGTTTGTTCTCCTTTATTTTCAAGAGAATATTGTGAAGTTTTTCTTTAGATGTTCTCTTGAAGTATTTCTTTTGAGTATTTTTTTAGTATTACCAAAAAAGGAAATTTTTAGGAATTTGGAGATTTGCGGAAAAAAGTTTTTTTTTATTTTTATTTATTTTTATTATTAATTTATGTTCTATTGATTTATAGATATCTACTTAGCTAATTATATTTTTTTTAATATTTTGTAGCCCCCCTTTAGCCACGATATAAGATGTAATACAACATAGTATACTTTTGATCAATTGTTTGCAATATGTCAGATTGATCTCGTTTCAACATTTTAAAACACAATCCTTGAGCTCTATTAAATTATTATGTTTAGTCTCACAAACCTGAACTTTAATATAATGTCAGAGGTTTTTGATCGGATTAAAATCTGGACTTCGAGAAAACCAGTCCATAATCCAAATATTTTTATCAGCAAGAAACTTTTTCATAATTTTTGTGACATGTGGCCTTGCATTATTATGTTGAAACCAAGGATGGTCACTATAATCCCAATTGGTTCTATTGAAATTTCGAAGGATTGGCAAAAGATGATTTTGAAGAGTTGTAATATATAACTTCACTATAAGGGAAAAAAGACAAGTCAAATTTTTTTTTTTTACAATAAATTGAAAAAAAAATTTTTTTTATTTAATAAACATTTTATCTTACCTTTAACTGAGGTGCAAAAAGGAACAAGGGGCCAACACTGAACTATGAAAAACACCCCAATGCATATAGTTTGGGCTATGGTTAACGGTGGCAGAAAAGCATTCAACATTTCACTCTTCATGTGGACTACACCAAACACAATATTTACTTCCTTGCTGGAATTAAATAAATGTAGACTCGTCACTTTAGACTACTTTTTTAAAGTCTCAAATAGTCCAATCTTTATGTGCAAGGCACTAGGTAAGTCAGTCTTCAATATTTTTTTCCAAAAGGAAGGGTTTGGAATGGGCGATATAACTTTTTAATTATTCTTTATGCAGGATTTGATAGATAGTTTTTTCGAATACTTGAATTCCCATTTTGATTATAAAAAGATTGATTAGTTTTGTGGCAGTAACATGTCTGTTACCCTTTTTGCCAATAACAAGTTTTTTTAAAGTGGTACAAGTACACTTATTGAGAAGTTGGATTCTGTAGATTCAGTTTTAATAAAATGCTTTATAACATTACTCACCATACTTTTTTTGCATCCAACATTGGCTGTGATATTATGATAGGTATTTTTTTTTGTAACCATAAATAATGGTCGCTTTTTGTTCAGAAGTTAATTTTTTATTAGCAGGCATTAGCGGTTATACAAAAATTGAAGTGAAATTTTCAAGTAAATAAAAAAAATTTTTTTTTATATAATGATATATTTTTAAAAATTGAATACGTTGCATATATGTATTAAGTATATTTTTTATTAATAAAGTTTAATTAGTTTTTAAATTAAATTTTATTTTAAAAAAAAAAAAAGTTGTCCATAAACTTTTGTCCATTTTCTGTATAATTTTGATATTAATTATATATCAATAAAGTATTTATATCTATTTATACTTGATTATTTTAAAAAAATAAATAAACAATACTATTAATATTATATAAAAGTCAAAAAATTAATTTGAAATTGGATATTGATCCATAAGAATCTATTATTTTTTAATATTTAAAAAGTTTTTAAACAGTTTAATTTGAAACTATAATAAGTTAAGTTTTTGAAACCATTGAATTTTAATAATTAATTGCTAAACTTAATATTAAAAATATTTATAATATGGATTGTTATATTTTTAAATTGAATTTATATGTTAACAAATAACAATTTAATGAGGTTTTGTATTAATAATTTCAAATAAATTATTATTTTAGCTAATTATTATATATTGATATATTTTTTATTAATTGAAATATATTTGATTTGATTTATTAGATTATTAATTTTTTAAAAAACTGTGGATAGTTTAATTTAAAAATAATATTTGTATTTATGTTATTTTTTAAAAAATCAGATTATTTGTTTAACCAAAAATATTTTGGAATTCTGATTTATTAAAAAAAAAAAATCAAATGACTTGATTTTAAAAAAGCATATTATGTTAGTAATAAACATTTATTAAAATTTCATATTATATATAAAAATGTTTTTAATTTTTAATTTTTAATTTTCCTTGAACTTTTGACATTTTATTTCAATAAATGTGATGGCAAGATGCTTTTATAATATACGCTAGAAGGTTAAACAATACATGATCTGGTTTATCCATATACTATACATGTTTGTCTTTTGTATATATATTATATTTAGTATCAAATGTTTAATATATCGTAGTTGAATAGAATGCCTTGTTTTTTTTTCAATATTTATTGTTGAAATGACTGTTGTTTGTTAAATTTATGTTGTTGCATAGTTTACAAATAAACCGTTACTTGTGACTTCGGAATAATAACGAGCTGGTGAATGAAACTCTACAATTTTTTAAAAATCTAGTGATCCAATTTAATCTTTAATGCTTATTTGAAGGGTAACCACCTTTAACATCCCTGCACGCAAGGGTAAGTTATCACATGATAAGGTACCAAACTCCGAATCACGACTTTACCAATGTACTGTATTTTAAAAAAATCATATGATAAATGACTTGCAATGCAAAAATATCTAATCTCTTTGGAACCGGTTAGAATCAATTAACTTTGCCATAACAATATGTACGTATTTTTAGTTTTTCGATCGGTTAGATTATTAAATCACGACTTATAGTACTCAAACCGTGGGTCTCCAGGTATGTATTAATCTTTTACAAATTTAAGTTATTTATTGGGAATCTTTTAAAAGACAAGAAAATCTCTTTGAACAGACTTTCATTAGATGGTATGCGTACATGCATGTATGAAAGAAGGTTGAAAACTGGTGTCTACACCTAATGTACAGAATTTACAGATAAGAAAGATTGCAGTGTATGTGGTGAAAATAAATTTCGGATATTTATGTTGCGGGATAAATTTCTGTATGAAATAAATATATATCCTTCTAGATAGCCATATATCTATGTTCTATCCGGGTGTGTGTAAAAGATTGGCTGTAACTTTAATCAATGTATGACCACGTAATAGGTACACGGCCTTCCGACGGATCAGCAATTTTACAGAATGCAGCCGCTAAACAATTTTAGAAAGCAAAGTCAATGAAAAATCGAATTTCGACTATATACAAAAAAAAGATAAGATATTAGCAAAAAAAAAAATACTTACGACTTAGGTCGATATCACCATATTTGCAGCCTGCGCACCTGTCATAAATGGTGACAATAACTTCCCTAGCTCCTCTGCATATCTTGATTTTTTTTCCACAGTTCGGATTCTTGTTTGGATTATTGAGAGGTGTTGCTGGATCAAACATTTCGTAATTTAGGGCGCAAATTAATTGATCATCAGTATTAGTTATTCCGCAAGCACCTAGGCCTACTTCATAGAAAGTACCATCGCCAGAATATACAGTTGCATTGTTTGTATTGGCATGATTTTGATGAGGCCTTTTATGAGGGGCTGAGACACCAGAATCGATGTTGAATGAAAGGAGGACGAAGATTGCGAGGAGCGCGAATAATTTGGTGTTAAAAGTCAAAGCCATTTTACACAATGTATGTATGCAATTAGTGTTATCTATTTAATAAAACGGAGGGAATTTGGAATGAAGGTTGGTTTATGCCGCCGCTGATAAGGTAGGGAGTTTGCGTCAAAGCTTGCCTTGAACACAAGTTGGTGAGAGAAAAAAGATGATGTAGGTTAAACGACGGCAAGCCGTAGTCGAATAGGGATGAAGAAGGGAGGAGAATGAGGAGAGAGCAAAGTCGACAGAGGGTAAAACCTCCTTGTTTATATATAAAAAAAAAAGGTAATAACATTTGTGATTTTGTATACAAAAAGCCAAGATTCAATAGATTCTGTAACTATGCACCATATGCAACCCCGAATAGGGCATTTATTTTTTATGAAAAATAAATTACTTTGGTGGCACAATTCATGTAGAAAAAAAAGAGAATTGCATAAATATTATAGGTTGTTAAAGAAAACAAGTAAAGGGATCCAATTAATCTTATCTTTATGGATGCTGCATGCACGCAAATACATTCATACATGTTCTTGCGTGTACTTACATAAAGAAAGGGGGAATAACAATAAAAAGCAACACCATAATTTTCAGATGTGATACAAGCGCGGCATTAATAATTTGGTGTCAATTATGTGCTTATTTATTTATAACTTATATTTGTACATGTGTTTAAAAAATACAGAATTAATTAAAATTTGACATTTTACCGTTTTTTATAACACTTTGTTATTAGACAAAAAACTAGTGATATACCAGTCGAAAAAATATTTGGAAAGTCGACTTAACCCACTTATCATTTAATCCAAATCAGCAGTAATGTTTATTTACACAAGGAACAAATTGATTATTCTAAGCGAACCGATTAAGAATCGTAATTATTGTTATTTATTTATTTATATTATTATTGTTATTATTAATTTGTTATTATAAAAATTACAGTACCGAGCAATTAAATTCATACCAATTATATTAATGAGAAATCGAATTCTTTGTTAAATATATAATTATTGTACATACTCGAATCGTCTTTGATGTCAAGCAATTATTGTGAAAAATAAGATTTAATGAAGTATTAATGTTATATATAGAATTGGTATCGTGTTTTTATGAAATTCGTTTTAAAATAGAAAAAAATTATTATTATTATAAATTTAATGTCGTTGCATTAATAATCGTTTCTTATTATTTCTTTAAAAAAATTATGGGTTTAATCTTAATAAGTTATAAGCAGATGCAAAAATTATTTTTTTGTTTAAATTTAACAAACAGCTTTTTACTATTAAATTCGAAGTTAACAAGAGTCTATTAATCAGTTAAGATAATAATATATACAGTACATACATATAATCATAATTTAGCCGTGAAGTTAAATGCAAATGATTTGTTAATTTTTTCTTCTTAACGCGTTGTATGTGCTTTACATGTATATGCTGTACATACAAGTTTAAATCTTAAAATTAAAATAATAAAGTTGACAGAATGACTGCAGATGTTTAAACACTACTGCATAAAAATACCTGCCATGCAATTTAAAAGTTTCTAGAGTCTGGTGAAATAGAACACGCATAGATTATATAAGCTTTACAAATAAAAAATTTCAATATACGCTTTGTATAAAATTAAAAAAGTTTCTTTTGAAACCTTAATCACGTGATCAAGGTTTTATTATTTATTATTTAGGCTTTAAACTTTGCTATCGTATACTTCTTAGATTCTAGATTTTAAATTGTACGTTTTCTTTGATATTACTATAATCAGTAAGTTATGTTATACTATAAAAACTGTTATTGTATTAGAAGAATAGCCCAAAGTAAGAAATTCCTGTGTTCGTTTTGTTGGATAGCAAGTTTCAATGATTGCAAGTAAAAGAAGATGTACAGTAGCATTACTCAAACATAGACACGAAGTAGTCGTTCAACACTAAGACTATGTATAATCAAGGATCCTTATTAATCATGAGTCTCGTGTAAAAGACATGGTTATACGGCACGAACGCATAAACCGAGTTTTTTTTTCACATGCTGTCATTGCCTATAACTATCCAAAGAAACTTTTAAATTAAAATAATATTTCTCACAATACTGTATCTACTAATATCAACTTTACGACATTCGAAACCATTGTCGAAGATGAAAATTCACAAAATAAAAGGCAAAAAAACAAATGGAACGACGCCTCTTCCGGAGGTAATGCGTATTAAAATTAAGAGAGTGGATTAGAAAGATTAGATTTGTTAATATTTTAAATGTCCCATTTATTATCATTCATGAGGATAATGGAATTATGAAACAAAAATAAAACCTTATTTCGCTATATTTATTGAGAATCTTAGAAGCTATTCAAGAAAACGTTTCCGAAATTGTGCAAACTTTTAGACTCGGAATAATAAATATCAGGGAACATCATGTAAACTTTACAAACACAAGTTCGATCGCAAAAAAACGCAAAATCTTGATTATAATAGAACAAATCGCATAAATATGAAAATTTTCGACTTAGTTGAGGCCAAAGAAAGGTGACGTAAATAGGGTTTCGCACATGATACATCGTACCCTTAATGTCGTGAGTGAAAAAGCGACCGAAAAATAGATAATAACACATATGAAGGTTATTACAGATAGACGAAGGATAATCCCGCAGAAAGGTTATATATTTCGTACACAAGTTCGGAAAAATATTATACGTTACGTTCCGAATTGTTTATATGAACCTAACGGTTATATTTGTGATGCACGGAACCCACTTCCTCCGAAAGATGTTATTCGCGGAGTGATCTTTTTTATGTAACATCACGCCATACTGCATGTGAAGAATTATAAATGTTTTGTTTAACTGCCTACTTTAAAATAATACTAGATAGTAATAAGGTTATCATCCGATATATTCTAGCTCTCTATTTCTCCACGGGTTAAACTATCTTTGGAGGGGGTTTACCAGAATACCAATCGTCGAATCTTTTATGATACTTGTTAAGTACCCCTTTTAATCTGTAATAAATAGACATTAATTAATTAAGGAGTTCTTAACCAATACATTCGATTCAGTGCATTATCTACGTATATATCATATTTATATAATGAATTATCACTATTCCTTATAAGTTCAACAGCGGTCTTAATTGGTTTTTCATTCAATGTCTTGTATATTAAGACAATGCAGATTTTTTAGATATAATTTATTTTTCTTGTATTTATCTTGAATACGCAAATAAAACAATATCCAAAAGAAATATAATGAATATTTATTGTTTTATTTTATTTTATTTTATTTTATTTTTGTTGGATAATTCTTATTGTCTTTATTGATGAAGCGATAATAATTACAATACGGTATATATGCCGAAAAAAATTTTTTGAACCGGAAACAAAAAATCGTCTATATACACAGTATAAAAAACAATAGATATGTCTTGATATTTGTAAAAAAATATTATTATTACGATTACTATATACAATATATTATTAAAACCAGAAATCATATTTTTGTAAAAAGCTACTGTATATATCGCTAAAATTTATATATAATATTAACCTCATATTTTTTAATTTAAACAATTAACTAAAGTTATATATTTTATTGATATTATTTGAAATTTGTATTTAATATTAAAAATAAAAAAATTTTTTACAAAATTTATTATTATTTTTTTATAATAAAACCTATATACAGTATATATTTTTAACAATATTATTACTTAAAAATTTTAGTTTTCTTTTTTTAAAAAAAAAAATAAATAAATATAAGAAAACTTATCTATAAAATCAAAAGTAAGAATATTTGTTAGAAAAAAAATATATTAAAAAAAATAGATACTTAATTTTTAAAACTTTTTTTATTTTTTTTAAGTTTTTTCTTTATCTATTCAAATATATGAACTTTTTTCTAGTTTTTTAAAAAAATTTATTTATTCTAGTTTAATCTTAAATTTTTAATTATATTAGAATTTTAAAAGAATAATTAATTAAAAATTTAAATTAATTGATAAATATATAACAAAAAAATAAATAAAATTTATAATTTTTATATGTTTTATCTTATATAACAAAAATTTAATAATACTATTAACTATAGTAAAAAAAACAAGATATTAAAATATTTATTTGATTTAAAATAATTTAATATTATTTCTTTTTCTTTTATATTGATTTCTTTTTTCTAATTAAAAAAAAATCTTATTTATAGACCTGTGGGTCCATAGTGTAGTGGTTAACACTCCACAGGTCAGATCACAAGATACCAGTTCAATTCCAGGTGAA